TTTTTCTCTCTCTCTTAGAAGCAAGTTGATGCTGTCTGGCAAACTCAAAATTAAAATAAAAAATTGGTTGAAATAATAACAATTAAAAAATCCGGAAAATTATCATGTCAATATCTTACATCATCTCTCGGTTATTATTTCGAAAAACTCGCCACAGATCGAGTCACAAATTTGAAAAATCCGTCAAATTCGAAGAAGAAAAGTGTAAGAATTGATTCGATGTAGCTCTAAATATTACGATACATCGAAGAGACTTGAGCTTCTGTTTTCAAGCGTGCGATTCGAGAAAAAGGGAGCAGAGGCTCTCTCTCCCGTCGACCTGGCGCCCGTCGAGGTGTGGCCGGCGCCTCCGCGAAGAAGCGCCAAGTCACAATCGGGACGATGCGACGAACAGCAAAACTTTAAGCGGGCACTTAAGAAGCCGCCTGTCAGTCAGGAGCGTCACTAATTTTCCCGGCCTTTTTGTCGAGTGCGCCCTCCACCCCCCTCTTCGCCCTCTTATTCTCTCGCGTCCTTTCGCGCGGGCACACGTGCCCGCTTCGGATATCCGTCATTTTCGTCCTTATTAATTAAGCGCGGCTGAATCAACATAGAGATAATTAATTAACACTATGTCCTCGGGCTCGATTTCATGAGTCCAAAAAGGTAGGTAGAATTTTAAAAGCCGAAGCACGTTAATCATATTGATCCGATTGTAATTTATATTATTTCTCGCATGATGTAAGGTAGTATAAGAATTTATTGTTTAAATTGTTTTTTGTTCCTTCCTCATTCGCACACATGTACATGACTGAAAGTCTGTTATAAAAATTTTTCAAATTTGTGCGAGAACTAATTCATTTTGAAGCGACAAAATTGTGCGCGAAAATTGTTTCCGTTTTTTTTTCCAAACTAGTTTTACAATAATCGATCGATATTATAACAGCTCGCTCAACGTTTCAGAGATTCGAGACACGTATAAACACAATGATACACAGTTATTTCTTCCTTTAGATACAATGACACATACAAGCATAAGCTAGATTAATGAGAAACATACAGGGTATTTCGGTAAGGGTGGGCAGGTAAAAATAACTTTAATAAAATTCTATAATATGTTTTCCTATAACGCATCTTTTATCAACATCATTTTATTATCTCATTATTTACTTTCTATCAAATATACTTTTCTCGAAAACAGTTTTGACGAAATGAAAAAAGGAGCACTTTTTTTTAAGAAAAAGGATAGAAAATTTAAAAACATGATAATTATGCATAAAAGGGGCCTTCTTTCCGATTTCTAATTTTCTGTGCGAAGTCAGATATATTACACACTTCAGACACGGGTTGGATTAGGTTATAACTTCCGAAAGTGAAGCCGAAAGTTATTAAATATAACATATTTAAAAATAAAGCAAATCGGAGAAGAGGCCCCTTTTATGTATAATTACCAAAAACATATTTAAAAATAAAAAAACTTATTAGTTCCAAAGTTTCGTAAATTAGAAAGCTTGTAAATCCATCATGCTATATTTTTTAAAGATTTTTACATAAAAAAAAAATAATTATTACAAATTATTAAAATCTACAGAATAATAAAAAAATTATTTAAGAAAAATATTTTTCAAATTTTAACTTGAGACAAATATTCGATATAGATACGTAGATTGGAGAAAAAAATTTTATTGGAATTTACGAGATTATTTTCTATCTGCTCCTCATGGTCTTTGAAAGATTGCTCATCTTTACCGAACACTCTGTATATACATATGTATATAGGATGTTTCTTGATAAGTGCGAAAAATTTTAGGAGATGATTCTTTGTCGAAAATTAAGAGATTTTTCATATAAACATACTCCTACATCTCTCTCTGTGAAGTTACACTCCTCCAAAAATGGGAGTAAAAATTAAGTTTTATTTTTTTCTCAAATTTGGAATAAGTTAAAGAAATGAAATTAGGTGGATATTTTCTACTAAAAAGGTTATTTATTAATATTTTGTTCAACTTCCCGTTTTGTTATAAGAGGATGAAACTAGCAACTCCTATACAATTTTTTATTCGAACTTCTTAATGTTTATATGAAAAATTTTATTCTCTTAATTTTAGAATAATTTTAGAATAATTAAAACTTTTTAATGTTTATATGAAAAATTTTTATTCTCTTAATTTTCAACAAAAAATCATCTAATTATCCTAAAATTTTTCGCACTTATTAAGAAATACCCTGTATATAAAACAATAATTCGCGCGCTTTAAAGCGTTCAGAAATCTTTTAGTCCCTGTTGTCCATTATCTACGCCGAGTCAACATAATGAGCTAACAAACTGGACTGTAGAAATAAATAGTCGTAACGATTACAACATATATAGCCGAGCGAGGCTGCCGTGTCATGATATGGGAAACGAGGCGTCTTTAAAAAAAAGTCGTAAATAGCGCACAATTACGCTTGAAAAATTGAACAACCACCGAAATGCAGGTACATAGTAGTCTTTTTTTTCAACGAACGGCGCAACGCTTGGCAGCGCTCGCTGCCTGTCATTACGCCATTCGCTCTCCACCGGTAATTGACAGTCTAATGACACAGTCTAGAGAGTCTGCCGCTCGCCTCGTCTTTTCGTACATCACGATCGTACGGGGATTCTCATTAATGATTCGCCTTCTTTGTGCACGATCGGCCGCTTGTCTAAGTTAAACGGCCGCCGGCAGAAAATCGCCAAGTCATGACTTGTGGGTGTTCCCTTGCTAATCATCGCGCGTTCGACGAGAGAACAGCGATAATTAGTATATAGCGAAATTAATGAAGCGAAGATTTTGCACATCGAAATCAAAATTGAAACTTCAAATGGCGAGTGAGAATTTTAGTCGAGAGTCTCATTAGATTAGTCATAAGAGGAAAGAAAACGCACGAAGGTGTGGAACGTTTAAACTTTTTTATATTATTTAAAAAAGTTTTACTATTTTTATAAAGGAAAAATAACGCAAAACTATTCTTATTTTTAATTTATGAATAAAACAGTAAAAAAATTGCATGCTATAAGAGATTTAAATAATGCAGGATAAGTATCAAAATGCGTGCATCCTGTATTATTTGTTCCTGAAAGGGAAACTCTTCCCCTAAATAGTAAATCTATTCTGCGCGCGATTTTAATTTAGTAAATTTCCGACGCGCGATTGATAGAAATCCGATCAACAGGACACACTTGATGATTAAATTGTGGAAGGAGGTAGATAGATGAAAAATCAGAAGCACGAAACTACTACAGGCGCCAGTGGATGACTTTACAAAATCGCATTTACAAAGGATGCCGCGGAGGATTTGGAAATCGACTCCAACAGCGTAATCTTGCTTTTGTAAAGGAACCGACGACGGATTTAAAGCGCTAACGCAATGAACCATTGGTACCATATACAAAATGGCATTTCCAATACTTTCAGGTCAAATTCTATCTCTTTTTTTTAATATCAATATATTTCAATAAGTTTTAATAAATTTGACAAAATGATCTATTATGTCAAATTTACATATTTATTTGAACAATAATTCTTTTTGATAACATAAACAAATCCAGACAATGAAAATAAATCACGTACATTTATATATTTTCTAGTTTCTGTTTAAAAATTTTTTAAAGATTATTTTTAAATATTTATTGAAATATGTTATATAATTTTTAATTACACAATGTATTCTCTTTTTTAGATAGAAATCTATTATAACTAATATTATTTTTAGTTTAGATAATGTATATAAAGTGTTTCAGTAAAAAAGACAAAAAATCGTAGAGATAATAAATAAAAATAATTTTATAAGTTTCTATAAAATTTTCTTCTATGTATCTCTACCGAAATATTATTGTTTTTAAAGTTAAAATGTGAGAAATATTTTTCTTAAATAACTTTTATATCTTTGCAGATTTTAATAATTTGTAATAATTATTTTTACGTAGAGATCTTTCAAATATAACATGATAGATTTCTCGATACTACGTCACAGAACCAAGAACGGATCATCTATAAGCTTTCTAATTCTAATTTATAAAACTTTGAAGCAGGTAAGTTTCTTTTATTTTTAAATATCTCTTGTTTTTAAATTCTTTAGAACGTTTCTTAGAACGTTCTTTAGAACTTTTTTTTAGAAACATCTTTTTTCTGAGAAAAGGTACTTTTTTTTATTTCATGAAAACTTATTTTCGAGAAAATCACATGTGATTGACAGAAATTAAATGATGATAAATGCAGTTTAGGAAAAATTTATAGAAACTTATTTTTAACTTATATACATACATGTATATATTCTAAGTTGCAAACCCAGTAATAGAGGCGCATGAATTTCGAAATGTTTGCTCGAGTTTTGGCCGACGATCCTCGCGTTTAACCACGTAAACAACGCCTTTGTTGACCGCCGCGATTTCCATTTACGAATTCGACACGCGCCGGCACAAAGGACCGCGCCGCCATGCTTCCGAGACCGGAGGATCGTGATGCAGAGTTTTCTATCCGATATTCAACGATGTAATGCGAAGGGTCGATCGATCGTCATGCTTTGTCTCTTTAAAGTCTCTCAAACTTTTAACGGTTATTCAAATTTTTTTATGCGTGCGCAACCTCAATTGCGTGGAAAGGCAATAATTATCTTCCAATAAAAATCTTAATATATTATCTATTTTTAATGCGAAATTGCATAAAAAAATTGAGCGCAATATTGAATATTTCTTTTCGAATTTTCTTCCTTGAAAGGAAATCTTGTTCGTTCTTTTCATCACTTGTTCGCTCCTTTGATCGTTTATTTGCTCTTTTAATACGATAAAAATTTCAAAAATTTAATAGTATATATATATATATATTTTTCGTAATTGATTGTATTGTGCCAACTTAAAATTTTTAAGAATATATTGCACGCGCACGTCATATTGTGATCGTTCATGGCGACCACAAAATTAATTATTGTCCGCATATGTCACGCTTCGTGTCTTATTTTTGGAAATTAGTAACGGCGCCTCTTCTTCGTGTTTCGCTTACCTTCTGTTTTGGTACCATGTTTTCACTTGCGTGTCCGTCAGCTGCAGTTTCGCCGCCAACTCCATTCTGTCTTGCACGCTTAGGTACTTTTGCCGCTCGAAACTCTTCTCGAGAGTTTGAAGTTGGTGATCCGTGAATGCCGTGCGCGCTTTACGTTGCTTCTTACTTTGTGCGGAGCCCAGAGAACTCGAGGAGCTTTTAGGATCATCCTCTTTCCCGCCTGAAATTGCAAAACTGTTGATATTGAATGTCTTCTCGCTTTTCTCCGTCTCATCGCACGCGATTTACAATTAGCTATAAAATTAGAAGAAAAGGCAACTATTTTAAATCATTGGCAAAAATTATATAAATATACGAAATTTAATAATTATTATTTTATTTTTTTATCTAATTTCAAGTAACTTTAAATTTTAATTAATTTTTTATTTAATATTTACACCGAAATCTTGAATTTCGGTATTCATATATCACGGAGATGAGTACTGGTGCAATCGTTTTGCCAAAAAGATCGCTATAAAGAATTGTCGGCCTGTCATCGGGCCTAGGAAAAGGCTATAAAAGGCCGAGTGGCTTTTGTTTTCGCGGAGGGTAGAATCGATGCGCGTGGATTATACGTTGTGATCGTTTTTGCTTGCATGGCGATTGCAGTTGCCTCTCTATCGACGAAAGAGAAAGAGAGGAGGGAGGAGAAAGAAAGAGAGAGAGAGAGAGTAAGAGAGAGAGAAAGAGAGAGAGGAGAGAGAGGAGGAGAGAGAGAGAGACAGTAAGAGAGAGAGCAAGAGAGAGGAGGGTGGAGAGAGAGAGAAAATGATCCTTTTGTTCTCGGTTCGACTCTCCGCGCAGCCGAGAGCCGATTGGCTGATATCGCGGATTGGACCACGCAGTCGCGTTGAGACGCCGCAAATTATTCCCCCGATACATAGCCGTATCCGGAAAGAGACAGAGAGAAGGAGAGGGGGATATAGGATTCCCTGAGGAAACCGATTACACCACTAGGATACGAGTCACGCTCACACGCGGCATACAATCGCCCGCTCGTTCTCATTTCACCCCTCTCAAACTTCATCACACCCCATCACCCCTGTTCTTGTCATAGAAGGATAGTGGGGAACACGTGATTTTCCATTTTACGCATCATTTTGATGAAGCGGAAAATTAAGGATCGTTATTAGAGACCAATGAGTAATATATGCAACAATAATGCGGTGAGAAGAACGTGTTATGAAAAACTTGATTACCTTCAGAAATGATCGCGACCCTTAATCAAAGCAATAAAAAAATATAACGTAACTTAAACATCAAGAACAACTTGTAAATTATGCATTACAGGAAAATGTTACATACAAAAGTTGCATGATTGCGAAAGAATTATTACATGGTATATTGTTTGTGAATGGGAGTATTTTAGGGAATTAAAGATCAATTTCGTGTCTCTTAGAAATTAAAAGTGCCTCGTATATTTATTGTAATGCAAGAATACACAGAGAAAAGTGTATACTGTATTCAAGTAAATATTATTTATTTTAAGTATATCATAAGTTTGTATATTTTATCCGCAAATATATCATAAGTTCACCACAAGAATTAAATTTAATTGAATATATTCTGAATTTTAGTAAGTGCAGTATTTTAGTCAAGAATATTAAATTAAAATAAAAATTTAGTTTGTTTATTATACATAAAATAAGTTTGATTTTTCTTTAATACAACTTTATAATATTCTTGAAGAGAAAATAAATTCTTCTTTTGTGTACATGATACTGAGATTTTCTAATACCTGTGATGAGTATATTTTAAGACTATTATCAAGAATATATTCTTTGTTGAAGAAAATTATTACTTAAAAAAAGAAAAATAAACCGAGTAATCGCTTTTCTTGACAGTGGAATGATATTTTTCTCTGTGTATGCAAGCTTTTTGATCGTCAATGTATAATGATCATGATATTTTTACACTTAATTCTCCTACAAATATGGCATTTCATAGAGATATAATTTTCAAGTCGTAAGCATTTCGAATATTTAGTTTAGATATAAAAAGAGAATGTTTCAAACATTTTTCTCTTTTTAAATATAGAAATGCTTCGTAAGATAGACTGTCCAATCCTGCTCGAAATTTATCCCGCAACAGGAGGGTGTGTCTTGTCGCGAGTAAATCGAGCAACCTCCTAAGAAGTCTCGATCAGAAAACCATCAAGACTTAATCTCCCGAGGGAACGGAGGTCCGTACAGGCTTCTGAAAGTATCTAAAGGCCCGTTGTCGCGAGCTCATCGATTGGAACGGTCGTGGATGTCGCGGGAGAAGCATTCTGCTCGAGGTGGGAGAAAACCCGGGGGTGTGTGAGATACACATAGCCAGGGAATAATATAGAACCGGAAGAAAGGCGACGAGAGCGAGAGAGAGAGCGAGAGGTCGGGAAGATAGAAAGCTCATGGATTGAGTTAACCCGGACGAAAGCGCGGCTCTTAGCCCCCGTTTGATCGGCCAAATTCGCTCGAACGGGTCCAGAGGTTGCTGCGCCATGTTGGCTAACACGGCGCGCGCGCACCCAATTCCCCCGTTTCCCTTTCTCCTCTCTCCCCCTCTTTCCCTGCTTCCGGAAATTCGAACAAGGAATCTCGTTCTGACACCGCATCGGCATCGCAGCTCAACTCCCGAGACTCGTCCGCGAAAGCGGTGGAGGAAAGGGGTGGTTTGCGAGAAGGAAAGCAAAAGGGAAAAAAGGAGAGGAGGGAAAAGAGTGGAACGGTGGAAACGGAGGTTGGAAAACTAAATTTACTATGTGATATACTTAGAGCCCAGGGCGGAAGAGAGAAGGGGGGGATCCCTCCGACCGACCGATCGAACAGTTCTCTACTTTTGAAAGACACTTCTAAGACGTTAGACGGAACTTTTCTTTCCCCCGCTCGATCCTCGTGAACCATGCTACCTGTACTTCGCGTAGCGAAAGTCGAAAACCATCCGCGAGAAATCCATCTCTTTTTCTTCGCACTATGTTCTGCGCGTGGCACGTAATCCCGGAGCGGGGCTTATCTATGTTTGTCTCTTACGAGCGTGTTCACGCGCCACTCTTTACCCCGCGTTTTCACTTTGATGCGAAATGGCGACGCCCACGGTGATCAGCTTTGCGCAAAGTGGTTTCCATTCCGGAGTTGAAGTCACGATCCTGTGTTTTGATCCTTGCGCATTATACAGAGTGTCTCAACACTCATAATGAATCTTTCAAAGACAGATTCCTGGGATCATCTGGAGACGATTTTTCCGCAACGAAAATGTCGAGGCACTAATAATTTTCGAATTATAAGTAATTGGAAGTAAGGGGTTTTTCGTAAACTAAGCTTTGTAGAAATAAAATATTAATAAAACCACATTCTTCGATTAATTTTAAATAAAGTTTACTTTAGTTGAATTTTAATTTAAGGCTTAATTGCAAAGATATATGATGACAAAAATCGGGAACATGTAAAAAATGATGGCCTTCATCGACATTTTCGCTGATGAAAAATCGTCTCCAAATGATCCCAGGAATCTGTCTTTGAAAAATTCATTAGGAGTTTTGAGACATCCTGTATATCAACGTTTCAGAAAAGGAATTAAAATATTACGTATATCAGTCTCGAAGTGCCTCGAAATTAACTGTAAAGTATGGTAAAAGCAATAATTTGTGGAAATGTGTATCGCAAAATATTCGCAAATAATACGTCACGAGTAATTAACCTTCCGCCCAGATTTTCAGACATATTTTAGTTTATATATTATTTTATAAAGTTTATACAAGAATAAAAAAAAAACAGATGTGTCATATGTACATATTACACAGAATTAGAATAAAAATGCCGTTAATTACAATATTTTCTTATAATTATTATATATAAACAGTATTTTTTTAAGAAAATAATAATTTAAGAATATAATAAAATTAAAATTTTTAGTATTAAAGAGATTTATTCTGAAATATTTATAAAAGAAATTTTGTCAGGAGACACTCATTAATCTATCCATATACTATTATTTTATAAAAAGATCATACAAAAAATTATGAAAAACAGATATGTCATGTATATGCACAGAATTAGAATAATAATAAAATAAAGACACATTACTTTTCATTTTTTTTATTATTATAATTAGTAGCATTCTTTAAAAAAAAAATTAATTTTAAAATATAATAAATTAAAATTTAATATAAAAAAATATTCCGAGATATCTATACAAGAAATTTTGCGACGGAAATCAAAATTGATTTAAAATCTATCATAAATGTACGACTGCCGCAACTATATGTTTGAGGATTAAGAGAAAATTTAATGCTATTCGTCTAGGAAGTAAAAATTAGAAAGTGTGAAATTGGAAGAAATTCTTCCAAGTCATTTAGTAATTTATTTTTTAACATTGCTATTCATTTAGTAATTCATTGTTATTCTACTCGATTTTGCAATTCAATGATTCTCTTTATCACGATTCATATTTTTTTCTGCAACAATAATTTTTTCCACCTTCTGTCTTTATCTCTTTTAACGTTATAAATTCCACATTATTTATTATGGTTTATAGCTATAAAATCAACTATTTATTGATACTTTCAATATTATTCAGATGTTTATCAATATCATTAATGCAGCATTATTATGCATGGGTTCATCGGCATAAACCTTTGCCGATGTAAATTGCAATTCATGATGAAATGCATCATACGTTCAAATCGTGCGCCTATAATCGCTTAAACAAAAGTTTGAAATGAATTTGTTTTACAAAATAGGCAGAGCAGTCCACTTGAATACATCTACTCGGTAGATTTTTTTCTCTCACAAATAATTTTTCTCTCCGAAATTTCGATAAAAAAAAAGTTCTCAAAATATACTTTCAAGAAAGTTAGCGAGGAGATAATTTATCTGGATGTTAAAGAAACTTGAATAGCTTCTTTTTGACATTTGAAATCAGGTAGGTCATAGGTTTTTCTTGTATCTCCCTAATTTTCGTCAATAATTAGATAATTACCGGGTTTATAGCTTCGTCTGCGTGATTATAAAATACTTTTAAATTATAAATACTTTTAAATTATAACTTTTTAGCTTTCTTTATCTTTAATTCATAAAGTCAATTTTTAAATATCTTTTTATTTATACACATTAATTATGAGTTGTTGATAATTTCTTCTTCTTTGTCCTAGATTTCAGTATCGATTCCAAAAATTTCTAAGCATATTTTGAATAATTTCGA